TGTAAGCTACGGTAAGACGTTTTTTCCTGATACCTTGTTAAATGTTTATTCACTCACAACTTCCTGTTTGCTTAGCGGTGTTATTTTAATTTAATCAAAGGCAGCTTTGATCAACAAGTATTAATTAAAAAATATTTTGAAACTAGTTAAATTGAGCATGTGCTTTTCTAGATGTGCCACCAAAGTCTTTACAACAAATTTAAAAAAAAAAATTCATCGTGTGTTTCCGAACACAAATCGGTAACACACACTGCTAGAAGTGACTTTAAAATAAAGCAAAATCGTTTGATATTTGTTATGAAACTAAAAGAGCATAAGAGGTTGGGGGGGTGGGGGAGCTGATCAAATCAATAACCAAACTAACAATTCATAACAAAAAAAAACCTACTCAATGTGTTGCCAACATTAGTTTCCCTTTAAAGTTTCTTAAGTCATAATGGGAGCTTACTCATAGGTTTAAGCTGTGTTTATGTAGGAACACCATAAGGATTGATGCACTCTAGATCTATTTTATATTAAGTATCGTTCTGAGATAGAAAAAACCAACCATACTAAATAGGAAAAAAAAAGTAAACACATTTTATTGAGCTATAAATATCCTAATATTTATGGGACCGTTAGACGATTACCTATTGTGATGGATCCTTGCTAACCTTTAAATCTGATTTAGTAATTCAAGGGAGATAAGCAGCTCAGCAGTCAACACTGCAAAGGTCTTTCCAACAAAGCCCCTTAACCAAAAATTTCCCTTGATCTCCATAAAAAAAAACCCAACCCAACCCGCTCACACCAAGATGATACGATCGTCACTGTGTAGGTTTTACATAAAAAAAATTGATATCAAATAAATTATCAAGATCAATGAACTGTGATCAATACATCCTCTAATCACACCCCGGCTTGACAGGGATGTCCGCGATAATCATATCATCAATTTAATCTTTACGTATTATAGCAGGGGATATAGATTTATCAACACGCTGCTTACAGAATCGATGGCACAGCTGTTTAATGTCCACGGGTTTATTTATTTTTTTTATACGGGTCTCATCGTTTATAAGCGGCTTTAACATTTACCAGTCAGATTGGCCGTCACATTTTTTAAAACATCGAGAAATAAATAATATGCTCAAACACACAGAGGCATATATATATATATATATATATATATATATATATATATATATATATATATATATATATATATATATATATATATATGTGTGTGTGTGTGTGTGTGTGTGTTTAAATACGTATAAGTATAACATTTATATATATATATATATATATACATATATATATATATATATATATATATATATATATATATATATATATATATATACATATATATATATCTTTATATTATTTTTATTTTCTTTTGTATATATATATATATATATATATATATATATATATATATATATATATATATATATATATATATATATATATATATATATATATATATATATATATATATATATATATATATATATATATATATATATATTATATATATATATATATTGGGTAAAGGTAGAGTTATAGGAATAGATACGGGTACCGAACTATGTACAAGTATAAGCGCATGCGTTGGCATAGGTGTCCGTATATGTATTTAGTGATTTTGTTGCTAGGTTTTAAGTAAATGTATATGTTTATGTATATAAATTTTTATGCATTAATAATGTCAAATTGTTTGAGGAGGGGGGATGGGGGAACTTATGTGAGGACGTATGACGTGAGGGGGAAGGGGGGAGGGGGTAAAAACGGTGACGATACTCCTCTATAATTTAAAATGTAATTTTTGAAACTGAAACTTTCAATTATTTTACATTTCAAAAAGGCATTCTAATAAATTGTTATAAAATCTGATATGCTTATGTAATATTAATCTAGATCTTTCCAGAAAATATTTTTTTAAATTTGGAATGTAGGAGTCAAATTTTGTTTGAGATAGAAAAGGGAGGTAAAGTCGTCCAAAAATTATTGTTATAATTTATGGAAGACCTCTAAGCATATTATATGTTAATGTTTACATATATATACACGCTACGTATATTTTCTCTCACATACAAAATACCCACGAGTGCGTGTGCTACAATGAGTGTGTGCTGTCGATAGTTGGTTTAAATGACCGGGCAACAATTCGCATACAGGCTCTATAATTGGGAGGCTGTGTTGTTGGGGTTTTCTCTGCTAATGCGTTCCTTCTTTTACCACACACGTGTCAACCGAATTATGGAGGCAATGGATTAATTACGCTTAATGGAGACTGGTGTTACCGCTATGAATGGATTTTTTTAAAGTCTAACTCTGGGACTGGGCGTGTATTATTGTTTTATTACGACAGCTGGGGTGGAGGAGGGGGGGGGGGTAATATATTGGGTTGTAGGGGTGCGGGACAAAATCTTGGGGATGGATGATGATTATTAAAAAAGAGGGGGGGGGCAACATCTTGGGCTATTGGGGTATGACAACATCTTGGGCTATTAGGGGGAGGCAACATCTTGGGCTGTTGAGGTGCGGGCAACATCTTGGGAGTTGATGATGATTATTGAGGGGTGTGGGGGGGGGGGGTCAAAATCTGCATACCTGACTCACGTTAGGGAAAGTAAAGGCGTCTGGGCTTAGTACTGACCAGACTATCCTTCTCATATGCCCAGGTCGCAGAAACAGGTGAACTCTACTTCACTTGCCCTTTCAGGCATCAGGTCCGAAAAGGAAAATTTACTTTTACACATATCAGCCATACTATATACTATATAGTACAAATATCAGCTATATCATTTAGTACAAATATCTGCCTTATAAATTAGTACAAATATAAGCTACATCATGTAGTACAAATATCAGTCTTATACTTGACCACAAATTTCAGCTTTATACACTAGTTAAAATATCAACTTCATGCTAATATCCACGTACGATTATTAACTTCCATTGTTGAGGCAGGTGAACTATTCACCTGTGACTAATTAGCTGTGTCTTCCAGTCTAAATTAAAATAGCTGTTTTTTTTATATCGACCTTAGGCGCATATTCCAATATCTTGTATCATCGACAATGGTACTCACTCGAACACCATGCCCATAGCCTATCCACATGCTATCCTTACTTAAAAAACTAAGCGTTGCTATCAACGCTTGCTAATACACATAGACTATGTGGGTACGTCTAACCCTAGAGAACCACACTGACTTATGTATCTTTGTTTTGGCTTTAAAATACCAATTTAGTTATGAGATTTTAAAAAAACTAGTTACGTTAAACATCACAACGTTAGGTTTTTGAATGTGTATTACGTTTAGGAAAAGACAAGTCTATTTACTGGGAGTGGGGGGGGGGGGAGCCGGTCCGCGCGGCTATTAATAACCATCACGTGACTTACCCACATCAGCCGAAATTCAATTTACCGTCGGTATACTTGCTGAATAATATAGTTCAACATTCTAAATTTATGATTATCTTATAAACCAAGGCAAAGTACAGCCTAGGACAACTAGGCATATCTTTTATCTACTTCTTTTTTTTAAACCAAAGAAAAAAAAAATTATTGACAAAGTCACGAACATAAAAAGTTCAATAAATGTATTGACAAAGGGCAATACCTCTCTAAGTAGGCTAGAGTACAGTAATAGCTCTCGAAATGTTTTTTGATGTTTAGCTGTAACGTCGTGTGATCTATTTTATAAAACTAAAGTGGGAAGATAATTTTCACTTGTGCAACATAGCGTAAATTTTATTTCTTCTAAACAGCTAATAGGAGACCACAGTTTTTATGTTATAAAATGGGGACAATGCTTAAAATTACATAAATAATGATTTGAGACTAAGGCTTTAAAGTAACGACCTTTCAGCGCAAATAACGCAGATGTAATCTAGTACATCTGCTCTACATTTCGCTTATCAGGTGAATCCATATGAATGGTGTGCATTGTTATGCAACACAACATATGACATTTCACCCCACACCTGCCGCATTTGACTTTATTTAAAATCTCCTTAGACCACAACGGCTCATGTTGAATAACAGCCCTAGAACCCCACCCAACCACAACCATCTGAATTCTTAACATCGCTAAACTACAAAAGAGGCGTAGCGACCCTTCCCGGCGCCCGGGGACAAACTTTCGATTTGCACCCCCCCCCCCCTCAAACTTTCTATTTGCACCCCCTCCTCAAACTTTCAACTTGTTTTTCCAACCCATTTATGCGCCCCCTAAGGCCGGCGCCCAGGGACATATGTCCACCCCCCCCCCCCCCCCTCGCTACGCCTCTGAAACTACAAGTAAAATACTTAAATTAAACTATCATTGTGAAATTACAAGGGAGGCAACCCACTAGATTATTTCCCCTTGCTGCATTTTTAATATGGTTAATGTATTTATACATTAAGAATAATACACATTTCAAGTATACGATAGGATGCACAGTAAAAAGAACAATACGCAAATACCTGGTCAGTGTGTAAATCTAAGGCCAACATTTAATGTATGGAATTGCCTATTGTGTTCCCACCGTTTCAAATGCCCAAAGCGTTAATAATTTTTCATTATGTTTTTGCAAATGATATCTTAATTAAATTGAATGTAACGAATCAATTAATGTAGCCTACCAAATCGTATTTGTTCAGTAGTAAGCAATTAACTTTTTTTAAGGCCGTAGTCAGTGTCTTTTGTGTAATGTCGGTTAGGAAGATTTGTCAGTATTTTATTTTTTCCAGATTACGATAGTAGCTGTTTCTGTGTTGATTTCTAGAAGCACCTAACGTAAGGAAAACGTACAACTACGTTACTAACTAATGCGATGGTTTAAGTTATTTAAACTTTGTAACCCTGCAGTAAGTTAGGTAGTTTATTTTTAAAAGATATTCCAGCTAGATCTATAAGAATCTTTTTTAAAAATTATCTTATCATTTTTATTTTGGTCGTGTTGTGTTTTTTTTTTTTTTTTTTTTTTTTTAAATAATTTTTTTTTTACCTTCTTAAGTTAAGCCTAGTGATAGACGATACTGACATTAGCATTGTTCTCTGTCACTTTCTTCGGATCTGAAATTTTTGTGGATTTTTTCCCCTCGTCACGTGACAGTTCCAGCCAATAGCTGGTGTCTTCTGTAGGCAACTTGTAGTGCTTGATGCTGTTTTGTGGGTAGTTCTTGTATTCTTGGATTTTACCATGGATCCTGTGATGCCATCGGTGGTTTTTGAATTGAATGGTAAGTTTTGTTACTGCCTGCATCTAAGACCGATAAATAGCCATATAAATAGATATATATATAATTATATATACCCACCCATATATATATATATATGTATAATATATATATATATATGATATATATACTATATATATATATATATATATATAGATATATATATATTACTATATTTATTTATTTATTTTTTATTTTTTATTTTACATGACTATATTTATTTATTTATAGGTATATATATATATATATATATATATATATATATATATTATATTATATATATATATATTATATATATATATATATATATATATATACCTTGCTTACAAAAACCTCAGTGTGAAGTTCCGTCTAAGAAATATTTCCCACCCTCTGCTATTTTTAAAGCTTCCTCGATTTCCCCTCCCCCTCCCTCACCCCCACCCCTCCCCCCTCCATTCTTCCTCTACGCTTCCTCCGGCTCCCTTTCAACCTACCCAATCAAAATTCCAACAATTAATTATCCTGCGACCTTTCCAGGCGGGCATCATCAAACAAGCAGAAAACACATCATTTAATGTCGCTGTTCCCGATACGAATTCTTTTGATCCTGAGACTTTAATTAATCCCCTCTCAATTCAAGCCAATTAAAAACCCCCCCAACGTCTGCGCTGGTCAAATATCGATACGTCCAGCCTAACATGGAATCGCCCCGTTGTTTACTTCACAAAATCAATCGCAATTTCCGATTTCAATTGGCCGGGGTCAATCACTATCACGAATCTGATTATCCGGTGAATCGGATCGTTTTAATTTTAAAATGTTAAAAAAAAAACATTTTAGGAAGGGTTAGTTTTCTGGATGCTGTTTTTTCGTTGTTTATTTTTCGCTTGTTTTTTAATCTTAAAGTCCTTAACTTTATACTTTATACAGAATTTCTCAAAAAAGATTTTCAAAATAGATTTATTAAGAGTTCATACTTTTACAAGAAAAAAAAACACTTAAAAATTACATTAGGACTTTGATATCTTTAAAGGTTTCTCAAAATGATAAGAATAATTGACGAATTATATTAACCATACTTTTAATAAAATTTGAAATTGTATTGCTTTCTGGGCATAGTGCTGACCCCACATTATCCCCGTGGATGCCGGGGTCATTGAAACAGATGAACTCTACCCTATGTGTCTTAGGCATCAACCGGAAAAAAAAAGATGATGATATTCCTTTCGGTAAAATCTTTGGCTTAATGGTTCGTAACCTGGGTTCAATCGAACCCCAGGGGTTCAAAGAGTCAGTCTCGGGAATTCGGCGAAGGGTCAAGACACACCCGACTCATATGATTCACGATCGGATTGTGTCAGTGCAGACGATAGAACTATTAGAAGGGTACGGTGAATGCGCATATGAAACTGGTGGGTTTCGGTACCTCCATAAAGGTTAAAAGCCGCTGATTTAAAGTATTGACTGCTGTTTAATTTTTCCAAACCTTGTAAAACGTATATCTGTTTCCACTGTTTAGTGTGGGGGGGGGGGGGCTAACGATGGGGTCAATCAATCAATCATCCCATAGCTCCCATTCTTATGGGAGAAAGGTAGGGGTGGGGCGTTGGGGCACCTTAGTTGACTTTTTAGCATTATTCTTGCCATCTCTGTCTTCTGCTGCTCTTAGCAATTTTGCAACCGGCGGCTTAGTTCGTTCCTTGGTGTCCTTCAGTTTTGTCTTCTCGCCTTGAACCTGGATTCGAACTCGAGACTTTCGTGTTAGCTAGCCTAACGCTCTATTACCAGGAGTAGGTATGGTAAATCATCTTTAAAGGAAACACGTCATTCTTTTTTTTCCCCACAGTTAAACGCGCTACCTTTTTCAGATTTACTTTAAAATGTCATTTAGAAATTTTTTTTCGCATTAGAAGAGAGTAGGCTACTTGTGTATGAAAAAGAAAAAGGCTACTACTTGTTTATTTTTTTTAGATACCACCTTGACCACAGTATATATAGATCGCGCCATGCAGTAGCGTAGCGAGGGGGGGGGCGGGACATATGTCCCCGGGCGCCGACCTTAGGGGGTTCAAATCGAAAGTTTGAGGGGGGGGGGTGCAAATCGAAATCTTGAGGGGGGGGGGGGTGCAAATCGAAAGTTTGAGGGGGGGTGCAAATCAAAATCTTAAGGGGGTGCAAATCGAAAAGTTTATCCCCGGGCGCCGGGAAGGGTCGCTACGCCTCTGGCGCCATGTTTTAAAGTCTTTAAGAGTACCCTGGGTTGTCCAAGTATCTCTTACGTACGTACAACCACCGAGGTCAGCGTGAGATCTATTTGCACATGCAGGACCTAAAGATTATTATATTGACCACAGGGTCGATGAAAAAAAAAAACTGGAAATCGTTCTTCGTATCAATTTTTCTGCGCCCGTTATACGCACGAGAAACCTGACAAAAAAACCGTTAAAACGTGAGTTGTGTGGGTTTTGTTGACACGATACAACCATTTTTTCAAGGGTTTCTTTCTCACATGTCGCAGTAAAAAAATTGGTTTGAGCTCAAAGTTTTTTCCCCCCTCTTACAACCAGGCATGTCAGTTCTAGTCGTATATTTTAAAATACTTTGGCTTCGTTTTGCTGGTCAGATTATTTTTTTTTAAAAACAAAGTTTCAAAGTTGAAATAATGCCGTATGTTTTATGTTTTTATATATAGAGAGCTATACATATTTACATTCTGTTTTATGAATATTATTTTACATTTGCGTTTTTTCTGTTATATTTTTTCGTATATTAAGATAAATAGTGAATAAAAACACTAAATAACATGTTACGATTTAATCAATACATAAAGCATGAAAGCAAGAATGTACACAGCTGTCGTTGTCACACAATAGAACAAGAAGGAATTAGTAAAGCTTTGAACATCATACTCAGCTTTTATAAAAATTAAAAAAAAAACAAAAAACACCAGAAACAGCTGTTTAGTAGTCAACTCGTACGGAGTACTGGCTAAATGATAATGGCAGCTGTACTGGGTAAATGAAAATGGTATATAGGCCTACTCAGCGGGGCCAGCTATACGACGTTGTTAAAAATTATTTTAGGAGCCACACTAAAAAAAACACATCTAAACTTTAGTTCATGGAAGAATCTAAATGTCTCTAGTGGCGTAGGTAGGATTTCGTGATTAGGGTGGGGTTTTTTTTTCGAGTATCGGCATAAATAATTATTTTTTTTAATTTTAATTAAAAAATACAGTAAATGTTCCTTTAAACTCTCCCCTTGTTGGGTTGTAGAAAAATATCAAATAACCACAGAACTCTGTTTTTGTTTCTGTACAGATGTGTTTTTTAAAATCCACCTTACATTATTTTTATTACAACAATCAATTTTTTTTTAAAGTATTACTTAAAGATTCCATACACTACATGTTGAAATGTGTTTTGTGAAATTAATTTAAGCCTTATGGAGGCCAGAGTACAGGGCGAGAAAAAGCGACACTTAATCAATCTAGGAGGACGGCTATTGGAGGGAAGCTCTATGGCACTTCATTGGCCGTGTCACTCACACATAATCTATTTCATTTATGGCTAACGTGTACATGTACACACACACACACACACACATATATATATATATATATATATATATATATATATATATATATATATATATATATATATATATATCAGACCGTTCGTCTCATATATGATATTGACCCACAATATGTCATCTATATGTCATAGACCAACTGTTACATTCCTACTATAGGCCAGCCTTTTCTTGCATCCGCACATCTATAATGGCACATCTAGGCTATGGTCCCAATGCTACATCTTTGACAGTCTATAAATTGACACCTGTTCACAAAAGCTCCCCCGGCACATTCTGTGTTTAGTCTATCAAATTACACTTCTGTACAATAAACTCACAATTTCACTTCTACATCCAGACCTCCCCCCTGTGTATCCCGCATAGCAGTTCACGCATCACCGCGATAAACCCCGAACTGTTTCACCAATTAACAGACCTTCCTTCAACTATCTAACAATACACCCCCATGTTCAACTGTGCGATGTTCCCTCTGTTCTAATTGAACGCTCGACCGAATAGCTCACTCTATTGTCACTGTGACTGGGTTGAGAAAAAAAAAGGGTATTAGAATTTTATATTTTAAAATGGTGAAATGGCTGCCTGTAAACTACATCTTTAACGACACACACACACACATACACACATATGCACACATACATACATACACACACTGTGACTGGGTTGAGAAAAAAAAGGTATTAGAATTTTATATTTTAAAATGGTGAAATGGCTGCCTGTAAATTACATCTTTAACGACACACACACACACACATACACACATATGCACACATACATACACACACACTGTGACTGGGTTCAGAAAAAAATAAAAAGAGGATTAAAATTTATATTTTAAAATGGTGAAATTACATCTTTAACGACACTCACACACTCACACACTCACACACACACATACAAAACACACATACACACACTGTGACTGGGTTAAAAAAATAAAAAAAGAGGATTAGAATTTTATATTTTAAAATGGTGAAATAGCTGCCTGTGAATTACATCTCTATCGACACTCACACAAACACACACACACACTCTCACTCACACACACACACGCGCCACAACACAATCCAACTCCTCGGCACTCTCTCTCCATATCGTCATTCCACTAAATGACAGACGCATATGAAGCCAATCTTGTGAGTTCCAGGACAGATTAGTTTGCCACGTCTGGGAATGACAACAGCAAGGATGGAGAAGAGGGGGGGGGGAAGTGGTTAGGGTGGGGTATGTCGGGGAGGTTGTTTTATTCTGAGAGAGGGGTCGTTGATAGAAGTGTAGCAGGTTTTTGAAAACACGAGCATGCGATTGTTTTCACAATAGTTCAAAGGAGTGCTTGTTTTTTAAATAGATCATCGGTAATAAAATTTATACTCGTCGAAAGGAGTAGATTTAACGCATCGTTAAATGTTATACGTGATGTAGTAATAGCGTATTCGGTTCGGGATGGTTGTTGGAATAATTTTTTTTTTATTCTGTTTTAAAATATTTTCTTGCAGTGTTAGTTTTTAGACTCATTTTTAAAAAATAAGTTCATTCCGATTAAGCTGTATCATATTGATAAGTTATTGACATCAATCTAGTTGTATTGAAATTCTAAGTATGCCAACGTTTTGTCTAGCTATATATTTAGGGCAAAAAAAAAAACTAAATATTTTCAAGTTTTCAAGAAATCAAGAAAACACCAACGATAAGCACTTGGATATTCGTCAGAATAATATTTTTAAAAAAATATTATTATTGAAATTAAATTTTGGAAAAATTGAAAAATTTAATTACATGCGTGAAGGTCGGAAGTAAATTTCCGGCCGTCCGGATCATGAGGCAAGAGTGGTATTTTGGGGTTTTCTGTGAGGCTAAGGTTGTCTTTTTATACGTCTTGTTTGGGTTTTCTGTGAGGCTAAGGTTGTCTTTTTATACGTCTTGCTTTGATTTTCTGTAAGGCTAAGGTTGTCTTTTTATACGTCTTGTTTGGGTTGTCTAGAAGTCTAAGGTTGTCTTTTTATACGTCTTGTTTGGGTTTTCTGTGAGGCTAAGGTTGTCTTTTTATACGTCTTGTTTGGGTTGTCTAGAAGTCTAAGGTTGTCTTTTTATACGTCTTGTTTGGGGTTTTCTGTGAGGCTAAGGTTGTCTTTTTATACGTCTTGTTTGGGTTGTCTAGAAGTCTGGGATTGTCTTTTTATACGTCTTGTTTGGGTTGTCTCGAAGTCTGGGGTTGTCGTTTTATACGTCTTGTTTGGGTTGTCTAGAAGTCTGGGGTTGTCTTTTTATTCGTCTTGTTTGAGTTATCTTGGAGTCTGGATTTGGCTTTTATACGTCTCTTTCTCTCTATCTAGAAGGCTTGGGTTTTCTTTTATGTCTTTTTTTAAAGTTGTCTCAAAGGTTGGTATTGTATTTTATAAACATTAAATACGTACACTTACAGACAATAGCAGATGGAGTAGAGTCCACTTGTTTTTTTTTCTATATCTAGACAAATGAAAAAGAAATGTATCGGCAGCATTAGGTTTATCGCTTTTACTTCATTGAAGTGGATGAGGATTGACTTTGTGAACCGAAATTTGTACTCTTTCGTATTTTCTGTATTTTAATTCTGTCTTACCGGGACTGCCCATTAATTATCATTATACTTTAATGACATATACGTTATTAATTTACATACTGAAAATTGAGCCTGCAAACATTTCTCGTAACGAAACAACAACAAAAACACGAACAACAACACATGACATCTCGTGACATGCTTACACAATCCTGACACGCTCATTGGACAGGCCCAGATCACGTGCACAAACAGCAGCCATTTTCCCCCGTAAGGTGTTGACATGTAAATATCACCGCGTAAAAGCCGAATCGGCACGTAGAGGTAAAAGTAATCGTTAACACAACAACGCTGGAGAAGAAGAAAAAAATGTCGATGTTGGTGTACGATAACTGTAATATTATTACACAGTAAACAAAGTACTTGTGGTCCATACTGTGTTTGTCCAAGTATTATAAACACACTGTTGGTGTATATTATAAGTGGAAAAACAAAGCGTCCTTTTCTTAGTCACTTTGATGCGTACAGTATTTTACACTGGCGTAGGCAGTCGGGTTGGGGGGGGGAGTTATATACAATATATATATATATATATATATATATATATATATATATATATATATATATATATATATATATATATATATATATATATATATATATATATATATATATAAACATTCCTTACGACTAAATCTGTCCAATGCCACTGAGTATTTTAAAATGGTACTGATACGAAAGGTTATATTACTGATTTTTTAGTCCATAGTTTCACTATAAAGATCAATAAAGTGGATTGAATATTGTCAATGAAACGATCAATAAATTTGATTGAAATATGTAAATAAAAAAGATCATTACATTGACCGAATACTGTCAATGAAAATATCAATACAGTTGATTGGATGTCACTGAAGTAGTGTGTTTCTACTTAAAAAAAACAACTGAGCAAAACAATTTTCAAGGAAGAAATTTGTTGGCCTGAACTACAGTTTAAAAATGATACTACAATTTCACTGAATTTTTATTACATAGATTTACAGTTACTCGGGGTGGGGGGGGGGGGTCTTAAATTATATTGAAGAAATTCCAGTTTTTTATTTTACATTAAATAAGTTCATCAAAGTTACTTGTGTATAAAGGCTTTTCAATATTTTTTTTTTACAACGGCTTTCTGTATATTCATTTAATTCGATAATATATTTCGTTCTTCGCGTAATAAAATTAGTCCATAAAATATGTCAATTTTACCAGTTTTTTTTATAGTTGGCTGGTTTTTTTTTTACTTCCCCAGATAGTTTTCGCGACGACATAATGGACGTCTATTTTCTTCTTCGCGTAATAAAATTAGTCAGATAATTAGTCAATAAAATATGTCAATTTTACCAGTTTTTTTTTTATAGTTGGCTGGGTTTTTATACTTCCACAGATAGTTTTCGCCACGACATAATGGACATATATTTCCTTCTTCGCGTAATAAAATTAGTCACATGATTAGTCCTTAAAATATGTCAATTTTACCATTTATTTTTATAGTTGGCTGGGTTTTTATACTTCCACAGATAGTTTTCGCGACGACATAATGGACATATATTTCCTTCTTCGCGTAATAAAATTAGTCACATAATTACTCCATAAAATATGTCAACTTTACCAGTTTTTTATTATAGTCGGCTGGTTTGTTTTACTTCCACAGATAGTTTTCGCGACGACATAATGGACATATATTTCCTTCTTCGCTTAATAAAATTAGCCCATAAAATACATCAATTTTACCATTTTTCTTATAGTCGGCCACTTTGTTTTATTCCCACAGATAGTTTTCGCGACGACATAATGGACAGCAAGGACAACAGCCCGCCGTGTCTCGAACCCGTGACCACAGACGAGGACGACCTCCACGACATGCCGACACTGGATGTACAAACTAACCTTGACCTCGCGGATCACTTACACGACCCGGAAGGTAAGTCACGTGATTTTCAATTTTTGTTTTTCTTCCCCCCCCCCCCCCTCCTCACCCCTACGATGTCTATACTACCCTTAGTTATCTATACAAAACAGTATTTGTTTAATCAACTCCCTTGTATTACATTATCAGCATATTATATATCACTCACCTAACGGCTGTATAAAACTGTTTTATTGTATTAACAGTTATTATTGTCTCCATTATAACATTTTTAACGCAAAAAAATGTTACATTTCTATACTAACAAACGACCATGATTTGCTCCTACAGAAAACCTTCCTGACCCCCCCCCCCTTTCCACACTTTGTTCTCATTCACGCATACATTTAAATGAAGATTTTTCTTTTATTAAAAATCTTCTCGTTACTAATTCAATGATTGAGTTGCAATAACAAAATATACATTTTAAAAAAATTTAATTTTTAATTTTCTCGAAGAAATTTAATCATTACATCCAATAAAGGAAGTTTGTGTTTATTTTTTGTTTGCATTTTTAATGACAACTTAAATACATAATTAGGGGGCACTAATATGGGATTCTAGCTCTAAAAACCGTAGTTTATTCCAATTTTTCATGTTTAATAAAGAAAAGCCAAATTAACAAATAAATTTTCTTTATTAATTTAAAACAATATCTTTTTAAAACGGTTGTTATTGTTTGTTTCGCATCTTGCAGAATTAGTCGTCCCGTTTACTTAATTACTTAAAACCATTCATTAGCCCTTTTTCTGTTTATTTTACTTATATTAGCATGAAATCACGAACGTTCCTAGATTGCTCTCCCTTGCCGGTGACGATCAACAACGAACACTCCCCATTTTACACGTACTCTCACACTCGGGATCACGTCACGTCTAGGCCAGTACGTTCTCGGCCACGTGTCGGGCCATCTTGTCCCTGGCCATCCGAACCAAAAAAAAAAAAAAAAAAAACCCTCCTAAAATAAATCGGAGCCCAATCAGGCAATTTGCATGCAGGGTCATTCGCTACCTAAATTGACTGCTAGCATTAGTTCCGACCAGGATTTTTCCCCATCTGAAAGCCTATTACGAGCGGTTGACACAGGCTCGGTGAAACGTAATTTCTGTGATCCGGCGGTTTATTCAATATTGAAAAGCAATTCCGACGGATTTTACCTCACCCGGAGCGGGCAGATTTGCTATGGGGTTTTTTTTCTTCTTTTTTTTCTCTATTTTTTTTTTCGTTTTTTTTTATCCCTTCTTTATCGCCTATCAGAATATTATTTATTTCCTTGCGCTCTTTGTGTGACGACATATTGCCTCCTTCGTCCATCCATCAAACTCGTGAATGGAAAAATCAAATATGTTTAGTGAACTCAATACTACAACATTAAAAAATTGATATCAGCTTGTGTTATTTAAAAAGAATTTTAAATTTTCAACTAAAGTGTGGACTAGATGTATGATATATCAATATATGGGCCTATTATAGTCATTAACATATATTCCTACTTGCACTCACACACCCGAACACGCACACACACACACACTCACACACACACACACACACACATATATATATATATATATATATATATATATATATATATATATATATATATATATATATATATATATATATATATATATATATATATATATATATATATATATATATATACATATAGGCAATGAAATAAGTGCAACTTTGCAACAACGCTTGCTAGCTGAATGACTGATCTACTAAATTGGCTAGATCATTGGTTGACCAGCTATCGGATTTTCCCTCTGCACTTGACGATGACCTATGACTTAAAAAATGTGTAGTGCAACCTTTCACCTGCGTGCTTTGATTTGCACTTGGTTTGCTATAAAAAGTAGCCTACTTAAGCATTGATGTAACTTGTCGCTGGGACGGAGGTAGGGGGTAGTGTTGAGGGGGGGGGGGGGCTTCTTAAGCTCTAATTATCTGTTGGTTAAAATTTAGGACAGAAATTAACAAGTGTTGATGACGTTAACTGCCAAAAAAAAATATAAATAAAACTTAAGTCATCACTCCCTGCATTGAAGTATTACTTTAAAAGAGTACCGCATCTAATACTTCCCTTTGCTACGTGATTTAAGGGGGGCGCTCCTAATAGGGTAAGTTATATTTTTCTTCGAAGTTAGGATAATTTTAAAATGCTTTACCATGATTTACATATTTTTATATACGGTATAAATATAAATACCTTTTGAGTAGAACTTTAACGGACTAAAATAATGTCATCGTCATTATTAGCAAAGGCCGATATTAATATAAGAGAATAGGGCTTATCAGTACAAATAATCAATACATCATAGTTGTTTGGAGCTATGGTATAATATACTTCCATACTTGACATTATGAAAGTAACAAAAATATGTTTTCTGCTACGATCGAGACATGGTTCCTCTGTACTCAAGTCAGCTGAATGTAAACCCTACTCGCCAACCCAACCCTTTTCCTTCATATCACATCCTGAAGGGTCGACCTGGGGTTTGTTTGAAAGTGAGCGCACCCGGAAATGAACATTCCTGTAATAATATCGTGCAAGTGGGTCGTAGGTCAAACCGCTTCCTGGCCAGGATGCTTGTCATTAGTGTAATTGCCAGGACTCGCCCTATAGTGCCGGAACGGTGTAGCTGTCCAAATGTATAAATGAGTGGTACCTTCACTTTCTTTTTTTTTACCTTTAATATTTATAACAATATAATAACTATCAAACTGTTACATACCATTACCAATATTAACCCTGACCTAACGTTTAACCTAACTTTAATCTGACTATTCCCAAATCAAAACCGAAGCAGGACGCAAATACACACTAAACGTTTAAGGTATTAACCCGCAGTACGTATAGTATCATATTTTTTTACCAATGATATTTCTCAATCCGTCGTTTGGTTGTGTGGTTTCATTCATCCGTCCATCCACCTATCCACCCATCCATGATCAACACGATTCCAACATCATTTAACCCCACCCATCCATCCGTCAATCCATCCATCCATCCATCCGTCAATCCATCCATCCATCCATCCATCCATCCATCCATCCATCCATCCATCCATCCATCCATCCATCCATCCATCCATCCATCCATCCATCCATCCATCCATCCATCCATCCATCCATCCATCCATCCATCCATCCATCCATCCATCCATCCATCCATCCAACCCACCCCCCCCCAACCCACCCCACCCACCCATCCATCACCAACGCGGTTCCCACATCATTTAACCCCCTATTACCCACCAAACCAGCGCTAACTTGGCGTCACGTTTTTCTCCTGCCAACTTAACAAGGGGGAGACAAATATAATGAAAGCAATTTTCACCGACCGGCAACCGGCTCACGGCCGTTGTTTCCTGCCGTGCGACTCGCCGGTCGTGTCACCAGTTTCGAGGACCCGAAATAGTCTCGGTACAGTGGAAACCTCGTGATGCCGGCATGAATGGCTCACGTGTAAAGGAAACCGGTCACGGTTGATGGACTTGGATCTTTAGCAGGCGTGAGTTGAAAATGTTGCCGTCTGCGACAGATGAGGATGACGTGTGTGGCGCCAGGTGTTATATAAATAACTTGATGATTATTTAATTGAGGGGAGTGGGAGTGTGAGAGGTAACCTCGGGTGTCTACGGGTGTAGTTTCATCATTGCAAATGGCGTTACAATAGGGCTGGTAAGTAGGTCACCATCCAGTTCTACGGCTCAATAAAACCTGCATGAGCCATAGAACTGGTTGGTGACCTACTTACCAGCCCTATTGCGACATGGCAGCATGGAGTTTAGTTTTTTTCCCTTAATATCTTTTAGTGTTATTGTCAGATGTCTTTTTGCTGGGGGTGGGGGTGGTGGGTGGGGGGGGTGGGCGTTGATGTTGGCATCAGAATGGTTGAATGGTTAAAGTATATATATATATATATATATATATATATATATATATATATATATATATATATATATATATATATATATATGTTACATTTTTTTTTATTTTGTTCATGGAAGGGAGGAACAGAGACCCCCCCCCCCCCATCCCCGGAGAAATGTCAAAAGAAACAATGATATCTCCTGACCCCGCCCCCCTTTTTTTTTATATTTATCAAGCTTATCATTATTTGAGCATCTGACAGCGCATGCGCTTCAGCTAGATGTAGAGGTGTCGCCATTTAGCTAATAACAACAGCCGCCGCCGCGAGCACCCCGGGTGTCTCGCGTTACGCTCGGTAATCGATTACTCATCCCAAACGTCACGGCGATGGAGGTTTCCTGCTTGCCTACGAGGGGACACAAATCTGTTTTAAAACCTTCATTATTTTAGATTACATCCCCTTATTTAGGGCCAATAACCCAGACAGAAAATTTGATCTACAATATAATCCGGTTCCCTCCCCATTTATTTCAACCCTGACCTCTCGTGTCAGAGGACACCGCGGATGACGTTGCGCCCCCTCGTCAAATGATTATCTGTTTGCTTCCCTTTATTTGCATGCGTTTACAAGCGCGCTGGGAGGAGATACGACAGGCATGCAATTTTGAAAGGAAATTCATTAACGCTGATGGCATGTACGTAGATCCACATTCATATTTCATGGAATATATTTCCAAATATTATTTCTCTATTTTTTTATACACTCCTAATAAAAAGGAAAGGGGGCATGCGTTTTTTATGACGTGTTGCATTTCATGGAATAAATTATCACGCCATTGGCGAATTTATTTTGTCCATTGACAAAAGCCCCTGCGTTATGGAGGGTTGGGTTTTTTTTTTCTTTGCCGAACGTGCTGTGGGTTTTGGGAGGGGAAGTTAATGCCGGCTGTAATTTCTTCTCTCTGGAGTTTGTGCCCTTCTCTCGTGTTTCGGGCATGATGAAAACTCCATAACGAGGAGTGGTGGAGAGGGCGTGAAACTGTACGTGTGCGCGGCCGTGGCGTGGGGGGGGGGGGGATCATTTGTCTAATGATATTGAATCGCCTAATTTAATTTAACCTCATTCTTCATTTTTA